GAGCCTGACGCCCCCCCCTGGCAGCGGCTCCTGCCTGTGCTGCAAAGGGGACCTGTCTGCAGGCCTGTCATTGGGCCCTAGGCCTCTGCCAGGACTGGGCCATCTATTGCAGGGGACTGTGCACTTTTTCTTCATGGTCACAGGCTTAGGAGGCAGAGGGTCAGAGCTGGAAGACATCTTGAAGGTCACCTAGAGATGCCACTCACCTTTTACAGATGAAGAAACCGAGCACACAGAGAACAAAGGACTTGCTCCAAGCCTCACGTTAAACCGTAGGCCCCTGGCCCTGACACCAGAGTTCCTTCGCCGTCTTTGTCCCAGCGCTATCCTCCCGCACTGCCTTGAGGAGCAGACAGCTCTGAACGGCCGCCTGGTTTTTCATACTTCTCCCTCACAGACACCTGGGGCCAGCCCCAGCAGTCTCTGTCACCCGTGTCTCACCGCAGGGCATACATGGGGCTGCTGGGCTTTCCCGGCAGGTGGGCGGCCCCTCTCGAGCGGTGCCTCCCGGGGTGATGCCGGCAGGAGTGGCTCTGGCCCACGTGGCTGCTTTCTTGCATGCGGCTGACCTTTGCTGACTCCCCTGCACTGCACCTCTGTAAGAAGCAAAGGTGAGGGTCTCATGGGGTCGGCCCCGCCCCTCTAAGGTGATGCTCGGTGCTTTCCAGACGTGACAGCACCTTTAGTGGATGAGAGAGCCCCCGGCGAGCAGGCTGCCGCCCAGCCCCCCACGGAGATCCCAGAAGGAACCACAGGTGAGGGGATCCCCAGAGGCCCACAGGGCTGCGAGGGCCCTGTGGGGTGCCCCAGCTGACCTGCTATAGAATGGGCGCTGGGTATGCTTGAGGTTATCCTTGGGTGAGGCAGGAATGTGGGTGGGAATCTTGGGAATCTCGGGTTGTTAGGGGGCTTCACGCCCTGATGCCACATGGCCCACACACCTTCCAGAGGATTGAAGACCTTCTGGATTCCTTCTAGATTCTTCTCACCTTGCTCAGCCAGCACATCAGTTCCAGAGACTTCTTGGCAGGGTTTTCGAGGCAGGTGGTGGCAGATCCGTGCCTCCTTCACACCTGAGGTCAGTCCATTCTCCCGCTCGGACTCTGCCCGGTGGCACGGTTCCCTCCTAGGGGACACTTCAACCCTGGGAGCTCCCAAGAACACAGCAGGGTCCAGGTGACTGAGCCACCCCTTTTAAGAATCTTAATGGGGCAGTTCTGGAGGAGCTCAGAAGTGTTACCTCACATCCATCTCTAGGACTATGTCACCTCAGCATGTCCTTATAGAACAGGCACAACACGGATGAGAGGTCGGTCAAACGTGGCACCATCAGAAATAGCACGGGGCTCAGAGCTGCAAAGTCCCTTGACAGCTGCTGTTCCCTAAGCCCCAGTGTCATTTCCTTCTCATCCTCTTCTCGGGGCCTGCACAGACTCCAGCTGCTGGCTTGGTGATGTGGAAGGTGCCCAGCAGCCCACTCAGAAATGCAGACGAATCCTGGGCAGGATGCACCCAGCAGTGGAGAGCAGGGAGCATGTCCCCAGGTGGGAGCTCGCCTTCCCTTCCTAGAGTCAGGCCCATTGCCCTTAGGGAACCTGCAGTGTCCTCCCAGGGCTGTGCGTGCAGAGCGCCCCCTGCAGGGGCGACCATCACCACCTGCCTCCTTCGAAGCACTCGTCTGAGGTGGGGGGAGGGGGGTTCTCAGAGCCAGGCAGGCCTGGTCCTTGCACCTGAAGGACATGAAAGGCCGTGGAATGACTCCGGGAGAAATCGCCAGATGACTCGATTTGGTCTCCCTCTGTCTTTGCACAATATTTCAGTGGCGGAAGTTCATCCCTACCTGGAATGAGAATTCTAGACAGCCCCGGACTTTTCCATCACTCCCAAGTAACCAGAAGTACTTCAGTCTCCATAATCACAAAACCCAGTCTGCAAATGCTAATCTGATGGCAGGTCCCACGTGAGGTCAAAGCTCCGGTCTTCCCCCAGTGCTGGGCTAGCACTGGGGTGGTGGAGGGTAAGACAGGCAGGAATGACCTCACTTCCAGGCTTCCACACCCTGCAGGGCTTTAAAGAGGACTCTTCCTCTCAGGGGACCTTATTTGTTTTGAATTCCTCCTCGCTGCCCCTCATGCCCAGTTAGCCTCTTCGAAGATCTCGCCCTCTGCACTGGATCCTGGCAGATGTACCCTCTCTCTCTACCCCCAGTCCCCCCAGGAGCTGAAGACCCAGCTCCAGCCTCACTGAGCTATGCTGAGCTCGGCTCGCTCCCGAGGAGGCCGGCGGGAGGTCAGAGGCCCCGGTGAGCCATCCGAGCTGTGCCCACACAGACGTGGGGAACAGGCTGACAGGTCTCTGGAGCACGGGCTGCCGGCCCGTGGCAGCGGCACTCCTTCGCTCTGCCATCAAAACGGGGAGCCCTCTCCCTCCTCCAGTGTGCCCAGGTGGGGCCATGCCGGCTTTCCACCAGGTCCCTACATGGAGGGGACACATACCAAGTGTTTCCTGGTGGTACCTTGAAAGCCTTTCGCAGGGACTGAGAGAAGGCCAAGTGTCTCCGGGTGGTGCCTTGAAAGCCTTTCGCAGGGACTGAGAGAAGTGGCCAAGTAGCCACCCTGCCCCACAGCCATCCTCTCCAAAGAAATCCTCCTCAAATATCTCTCCCCCCTCCCCCCCCCAACCCTTTAAATTACTCCAGTGGCAGGGACATTGTAGACGTTGGCCACAGGCCCCTTAGTTTAATGCCTTGGTTGGTGTATTCTGTTTGTTGGGTCCTCAGTGTGAGGTGCAACAGGGCTTTCTCTCCGCAGGAATCCTGCCCTGCCGGGGCCACACACAGGCCTGCCTGACTCTTGTAAAATACTCCCCAGGCTGTAGAGTGGCCCAACCACTCGCACCCTCCCTCCTTCCCTTTGGATTTTCCGATTGTTCCCCTACTTGCTGGGGTCAAAACGATCAGTAGCTCCAGGTTCAGACTCGCATCAGGGCCAGGAAACCGCAGCTCTTCACTGGCTCGGGGAAGCCAGATGAATCCTAGTGCCATGGCAGTGACGTCGTGCCTGGATGCTCCTCATGTCCTCTGTCTCCAGGATGCTGTGGCCACTCGGCAGGACTTGCTGTCACTCTGAGTCTCTCCCATTTCCATGACCTTGTTAGCAACTCAGACCAGATCCACGTGCAGAGCTGTGTCCAGCACACAGTCAGCCCGACCCTCGCTTGGTGCTGTGTTCAGATGACAGGCGCTGGGACCGTTAGGCCTCATGGGCTTCACACATCTGCTGTAGGGGAACCAGAGGGTGTCCGTGTGGACGAGCTTGTGGATCGGGGGCTTGCCAGCCCACTGCAGCCCTTTCATCCCCACCAGAGCTGCCCTGGGACAGACAACGAGTCGGGCATCTCTGAAGCACCATGAGGGCCACCCAGCAACTCAGAGAATCTTTCTTTTCTTTCATCCATGCTGTTTGCAGCCAGCCTGGCCAGACAGGAGTGGTAACCTGACGTTTGCCCGCAGCATCGAGGCTGAGACTGTCATCGCAGCTCTGGGGGCTAAGACTGACGGCCAGCCGGCACCTCGTAGGCGTCCCCCAGGTCTCGCCCACTGTCTCGGGCAGGCTGCTCCTTCTGGAGTCACGAGGTTGAGGCATGTCCTGCCTGAAAACTCTTCTCCTGGACAATCGTATGCTAGAGCAATATCCTGATCTTTCATGACGCAGAAGTGGCTGTTCTAGGCAGTAAAGCTTCCTGGTTTTGGTACCATTGACTTGGTCAGGAGCTGTTCTCAGTCTCCTTCATTTGGGTGAGCTGTGGCTCCCTATGCAGGAGCCCAAGACACCCAGAACCAGCTCCTGGCACTGCTGGAGCACCTGCAAGCAGGTAGTACCTGCCCCGGGCCTGCCATTAAAGGGACTAGCCTGACTTGGAGGAAGAACCCTAACAGCTCTAGGACACCTGCCGCACGCCAGGCACTTAGCTAAAGACAACCCCATATTTGTCATATTAACCCTCTCTGTCCTTCTACGACACAAACCAGCGTAGTCACCGTGGGGTTCTGGATGAGGAAACGGAGGGGCAGAGAGGCTAAGTACATGGTGGTGTCAGGGTATGACCCCGTCTATGACTCCAGCACCCAGGCTTAGTCCCTCTCTGAACCCCTCACCCGCTCAGAGCACTGCCTGGGGCTGGGAGCGCAGATGCCATCAGCCATGGCTCCCAGGGCACGGTTCGCAGCAAACTGTTTCACTGGCCTCTCCCATCCTGTGCGTCTTCACTGAATGAGACACTCAGGACCCTGACCACCGAGAAAAGGTCTTTCCTACTAGGTCCCAGTCACTTGCAAGTTGCAGGTGTTTCAAGCGAGCTTTTATCACGGACGCCGCCAGCAATAACATTTGCAGAGGAACTTAGAGCTGCAGCTCCTGGTACTCCTGGGACGTACCTTTCCTGACGTTTTAGGGAAACTCCCAGAAGCAGTAGAGAGCTTCTAGCAAACAGTAACTATCTTTGCTTTTATCCTCTTCATTTGCTGATGCCTAAACCAGCTGAAGAAGCAGGCATTGGAGACACCCCCAGCCTGGAAGACCAAGCTGCTGGACACGTGACTCAAGGTCAGTGGGCCAGAATCACCTGCCATGACTTGGGGTTGGGAGCCGGGAAATGCGAGCACTCGATGGGCCCTGGTCTCAAAAGAGAATTTGCACTTGGCCCGTAACCCAGGAGATTTTGGGGGAGTAGGTTTGTTTCTTTTCTTTTTTCTTATTTATGTAGTTTATTTTTGTTTGTTTGTTTTTTGTTTTCAGTTTTTTTGCCATAGGGTGCATGCACCCACTGGAGAGAGGCACAGAGATAGGGAAAGTGAAGCATCATCCCCCAGGCGGATGGCCACAGTTCAATCCTTCTCTCCCATTCTCCTCTTGGGATTTTGGACACACATGCACATGCGCCTGGTGTATTTTTCAAGTCACTGGGTCCAGGACTCAAACTGCGTGGCCATGTGAGATCCAGTGCCTTAGCCACCATACCACCTGCTGGCCCAGGAGTCAGTTGTTACTGTTATTGGGGGTGGGCTACTCAAATATAGGAAGAGTCCCATTTTTTTCCCCTAATACTATTTCTGAGTCATTCCTAAGGTGTTTGATGCCCTGAAAGAAGCTGGTCTTGTCCAGCCTGGGAGTTGAGAGCAGATTATTTAATAGAAACTCAAATATATCCAATGGGAGATCCTCCCTGCAGCCCACCCATTGGCCCACCTGTAGCAAGGCCTCAGCCATTCACAGGGTCTTCAAAAATTTCACAGAAAATGAACGTTTTTTGTGTAGCATGACAAAACTATACATGGACTCCAAATGTTTGTGCACCAGAATGAACTCATACTTTAATTCCATTTTTTCCATGAACTCCTTGAAGCCCTTCCTAGTTCCACCAGCCACTGGTTTTGAGTCCTCTTCTCTGCAACCTTTAAACCTTATGATTTTCTTCTCAGGAACCAAACAGCTATATTCAAGAAAGTAGTTTTCTATAACCATATTATAAATATTTTCAGGACTTAAAAAATCCTGGAGAGTCATAATTGAGGACCAGCCTAGAGATAGTCTAATTTTGCAGATGGAGACCAATATAGACACAACATGGAGTGGGTGTGCTTTCTAGCACTCGGTGGGTAAATGAGCTTGAGAGTTTACTGCATAACATAGAAGCTTCTGGATTGCAAAGAAGCTGGGAAGATACGGATCTTTTCTCCAGAACTTGATAAGGGATGTATTCAATAGTTAGTGTTCCCACTCGTGCCAACTGACTTCAGGGGACTCAGCCTTATATTCTGAGGTCTAACTGTCCATAAGTATAAGGACACTGACTTCATAACTAGAATACTTTCAAAAAAATTTCTCATCTCACATGGCATGAAAAGGCATGTTTTCATTCTGTTTTAACAAACAGAAGGGCTGGGACCAGCAGTTGGCATAAGGGCTGTGTTGCTGGACTCCCATGTAGCCGACTATGGTTCGTGTCCCGGACCCGGCGGCCTAAACTCAACCCCGGCACG